TTTATTTATAAAACAGTAGAACTATATAATATTCATTTTTTTTAAATATTTCCAAACATTACAAACATAAGCTCAAATAGTTTGGTGTCCAGTTTGCACTCTTTAAAATAATTTAAATATTTATTTGAAAACGAGCTGCGGTTCGGCTCTTGAACTACAGTAATGGGAAATGGTACTGAACTATGCCGGGAATTCTTTTGGATGGGTTTTCTCGAATGGGTTCCGGTCCATTCAATGGCTGACCAAATGCTGAATTGCTGTTATTGAAGAAGCATTGTATGGCATATGGGTGTCAGGCTCTCTCACACTCTCTGCTTTATCTTCCTCTTGTTCATCACTCTTTCTGTTTCTCTGTGTCTGTCAAATGGCATTTGAAATTCATTTGTGTTGAAGCTCTCAGCCCTGACCGGACGGCTATTGTTCATTTGGAGTGCGGAAGTGCTTTTAATTTATGCACAGGTGGCCAACACTTTCAACGTCCACAGCCACCGCCACCGCCACCGCCAACGCCACAGTTACACCCACAGGCTACAAAGGCACACCCACATCAATATAGACATAGACATCGGCCTTCTGTTTTGGGGGCGAGAGCCCGAGACCGCAAGAGTGCCTTGGCATTTCGGTGTCGCTGCCTGTTTCAATACATCCATGAAACTATGCGTCCAGCTCCACAGCAACTATCGCACGCTCATTTATCTCACTTGTTGTTTGACAAGCAGCAGCAGCAGCAATGGGGGCCGGGGGCATGGGCGTGTCAGTTGTTGTCCATTCAAATGCGTACATCCATTCAAATCACTCATTTCGTTTTGACATTTTGCTCTGGCATTCGGAATTTCATTAATTCTGCTAAAGTCCTGCCAATACCACGCCCATAACCGCCCCATTCTGCAGAGCGATTCACATAATCTGTTGACCTCTTGCCACGCCCTCTTTAGTGTTGTTTATTTACCTTTTCGTTTTCATTTTTTTTTCGCAATCCTTTAGGCTTGACAAAATTTCAGCTGCCATTCAAAATTAATCGCCTGTTTCTACGAAGAACAAAGCCCAAAAAAAGCATAGAGAATTGAAGTATATGCATATATAATGCATACTAAATTCATAAATATTCAGCAAAAAAAATTTTCTATATACTTTACTGAATATTTATGAATGTAATGTGCATTATATATGCATATATTAAATATATATTATGCAATATGCAACTTAATTTTAGTTTAACGAATTTACTCACACTATTTACCAAATTAACAACAATTAAATTTTTTAATAAAAATAAAAAAATTAAATTTTAATAATTAAATTATAAATATTAAATAAAATACAACTTATGAATAATTCAGAGGCAATACTTCTCATAGGCTCTGAGATAGAAGCGTATATCAAAGGAATGGACGGACAGGCAGATGTATAGGGAGAGACTGACTCTAGTAGGGATTTAATACAATTTAATAAAAAAGTTAGTATATACTGATCCTGAATTTTCAATTGGTTCAGTGCGTAATGACATTAAAAGCCATAGAAAAGACATCCGTTGCACTACTTTACAAGCGCCCTTCAAGTAACGCTGTCTTTTTCGCTCTCATTGTCTATGCTGGCTCATCTCTTCTGAAACTTCTGACACCTATTTAATCCTCGACAACTTGAACACAAAGCCACATGGAATTTCGTGGGGGCAAATATTTGATCGCTGGCAAAGTTTGCGTGCAAATATTTTTGCGTGAGCGGTTCGCGTTAATATTGGACTTAAACAATTTAATCAAATATTTTAACTTGCTTTTATTAATTAATTCACGGCATATGCACACATCCATTCAGCGATTCAGCCACCAGCCACCCAGAGATTTTTATATTCGGCTGACCGCTTTTAATGTTCATTTTGTTGGTCGTCTTTTCTCTCTCATTTACTTCCTTTTTTTTTTTTTTTTTTTTTTTTTTTTTTTTTTTTTTTTTTTTTTTTTTTTTTTTTTTTTTTTTTTTTTTTTTTTTTTTTTTTTTTTTTTATATATATTTACTTTCAGCTTTTTTTTTATTTTTAATATTTTACCATTTTTGCAGCTGGTCAGCACTTTTGGTCGGCCAATTGCTCTTTTGGCACCCAAAGTGGAGCCTGGCCGGGGGCGTCAGTTTGTTGTAGGCCGGCTGTCGCTGCTGCTGCTCTGCTGCGCTGCTGTTTACGCAGCTTTAATAAAACATTGTGCCGAATAATAAATCAATTAAAAATGTACAACAAACTTTTCTATATATATATTTATGTGCCCTTATCGCTGCAGTTATAATCATATTTGTTGGCTGCGTGCGTGCTTGTAACCCCGACCGAAAGCAACCCATTTTTAAGCCCCATTTTGGCCAGTTCCGGCTTGCAGTTTTAATTCATTTTTTGCTATGAAATAGCCACCATTATGGCACAAAAAAAAATCACATGGCCGCCATTTTGGGCGCGATATTAAAATGAAATTTTTTTAAGCTTTCGTCGAAAGAGGCAAAAACAAAAATAAAAAAATTTGCTGCGCTCAACAAATTTATCAGCCATGATTTTGTGCCTCTATTGTTGCCTTTATTGTAATTGTTGTTGCTGGCACAATTGGCCTTAAAAATATTCAGCGCAAATGAGAAAAGTTTTCGAGCGTTTATTTTTGGCATGGCACAAAGCTAAAGCTGATGCAAGCTTAAAGTTTCGATTTGCCCAAAATATTGTTCAGAAAACATATATGAATATGAATGTGATTGTTCGAGTTGATTAAATGCTTTTTGTCGAGTCAAAGTTCGTATGAGTATTTAAGCTGAAGCTGCATGAAATATGTCAAAACTGTTGAACTTTAACTTCCAAAATTTCTTTGATTGAGAAGAAATAATCTTCAGCTCTTTCCGCAGAGTATATTTCTCTTCAAATAGCTACTCAACTGCCTTTTATACTAAACCAACGCAACTTATTTATTCCCAAGATATCTTATCGAAAATCCCCTCAGCTTAAATACCTTTTGTGCATAACTTCCACTAGTTTATTTCCGTTAAGCATATGCAAGCGATTTAATTGGGCTAGATAAAGAGAAAATCGCGTGATTTGTTTGCATTTTTGTTGTTGGTTGTTTTTACATTTTTTCTTTTTTTGGCTTCCTAATTGCATTGCGGGCAATAAAGTGCAGTCGGCTTTTAGGCGCTGCTCAGGCGATTATTATCTCCGTTGGAGGGCAGAGCACATTAGCGAAATGTCAGCTAATTAAAATTGTAAATTTGAACTTTTCATTAGTGCATATAATATGCTAACTATTGCAATTTAGTTTCTCATTTTTCTTTTCAGCATTTTAGTTTATTTTATTTTTCGCTGCGCTGCAGTCAAAGGGCGCAACCTTTGTAAAATGGCGGCCATGCACGCTATGGACACACACACACACACACACACAAATACACAGAGACACAGTGCAGCAGGCATACGAATAGGGGTTTGGCAGTCGCATTGCAACCCTTTTCAGATGTTGGCCAAAGAAACAAAAGGTTAATTCTTTCCTTTTGGCCAACTACTTGAAGCTATAAATACCTAGTTGGGGGCAAGTCAAGTGAAGCAAATTGAGTTCAACAAATTACACCTGCTCCCAGCGCAGGTAGCAACTGTGCATCGGGCAGGCCCCTAACAAGTGTTGCTTAATTACGTCAGCGTCAGCAATGCCAGAAGTGCACTTGAGCATGCAACGGCGGGTTTTGGGGTGCCGGGGCATGTCCTTCATTTCTCCTTGCGGTGTGCGCCATTTTGTTTACTTGACCGGAAACGGAGGGCGAAACAGCAGCAGCAGCAATAGCAACAGAAAAGCTGTACCCACTCCATCTACGCTTCGCCAATACCAAATTTAATTCAAAAATGTTTACCTTCATGTTTTCCTCTTTTTCTTTTTGGGCCATACTATCGCTAACAATTTTTGTTGCGAGTGGGTTAATTAGCAATATGCTTACAATAAATTTGATTCGGAATCTCAGCTGGGTCAAGCAAACAAAATAAAACAAGCAGATCTGACTCAGATTCGTGGGAGGCGGAAAAGATTTTTATTGCTTTTGCTTTGTTATCGCCAAATTGCTGCTGCAGCGGAAGCATTGGCCCGAATTTGCAATGAAATGGAAATTACCGAGCAAAAGGCTTACAAAACTTAATCGACAGTAGCAGTGGAAGTGGATGCCAAGATGATAATCTATTCGAGGCAAGGCTTAAGATTTTTGGTTGAATAAATGTAGGTTAAAATGTACGAGGAAGCTAATGAAGATGGATGCCAAAATAAAGTGAAATTTTCAGAGCTGTTGTTAAGCGAAATTAACAGATTCCTGGATTATAATGTTACATTCTACATATATACACATACATATATACATACATGCTACAAATATAAAACTTGAAATCAAGACAATCTCATAGAGAAGTATTTCTATGCTTTATCCTTTTGAAAGGCAGCTCAAATTCAGTGCAAGTTTTTCGATTTAACTCTTCTTTATTAGAACGAATAATTTCCATCATATCATCAAATTTGATGACAAGAATTTATCCACATATATTGATTTATAACCCTCTTAAAATCAGGAACAAACGTAAAAAGAATGTTCTACTATTCTGCAAATGAAAACCAATCGGTTTCTCGTAGCACGGTTAAAATTTATTTTGTATACTTTTTTCACTTTTGTATAACAACTTCTTCCTCTTATTGGCATTCTACTTTCGCTACATTCCCTTAGCAAAATTGAAAGTCCAACTTACCTCATCTTTGCCCTTCATGAGACACATTTTGGTATCTTCCTCCGGCGACGACCACACGAGACTTTGCTGTTCCGTGAGATCATGTATGCTTAAATTAAATACGGTATTTCTGGAAAATACAAAGAGAACAAAGAAAATTGATTAGAGATGAGAAATCGAACGAGTTAGCCAACAAAGAAAAAAAACACAATCTTGGTAAATTCAATTGAAACAGCAGAAGGGCGCAGCGACAATGCGATAAGCAATCTGCTGATTTTATTAATTAAAATATTAATTAAAATTCATTTGACCTATGCGCCCGCAATCAACACACTTTATCCAGGGTTACGTGGCAATGCTTTTGGTTGCTGCAAAAATGCCGTAATACGAAAATTTATGCAAAATATTTCAAAATTCTCGTTAATAACATTATATGTGTATGTATGCTTGTGTGTGTGAGACTTTATATATGTATGTGCGTGTGTGTGTGTGTTGCTTTAAGCCAAATATATGGCGCTGATGTGGGGTTGTAGGGCTAGGCGAGTGAGGTAAACAGAAATTTCATAAAATCAACTCATTGATTATTGAAACCACAACTACGTGAGTGTGGCCATGTGAATGTGAGTGCGTGTGTGTGTGTGTGTGTGCGGCATGCATGTGTGAGTGCACTTTGGCCGAATATTTTATGGCTGGCGTGTCATGAGGCAAAATGTGAATGAGGCAATCGAAGCCAAACCACAACCAGCCACCCACAGCCACCCACAACCGCCCACATCATGCAGCAGAGGGAACCTTATCGAGACTTCCGGTGCTTTCGGGTTGAATGCAGCAAAAAGTGAGCGGAAAATTTAAAATAAATATGTACTAAACTTTCGCACTGGGTAAGGAAAATTGGCACAAGGTAGATCTAAGAATCGATGCAGGTGCAGCTGCTAGGCAAAAAAGTGGCACGGGGTGGCCCAAACGGGGGCCAAATGATGCGGTTAAAAGTGAACTTTGCTCTTGCAAAGTTCCGGCAATGCCAGGCAATTGTTGTCATAATATTAAAAGAACCTTTTTAGCTGAATGCTCGCTCCAACTTTCTGCATGGGAATGCAAATTATGCAATTTGCATACATATTTCATATTGTATATGCTGCAATCATATATTAGATATGTGCATGTATAAAGAGAGTGGCAAGACTGGGAAGAGAGAAAGAGCGAGATAGCGAGTGTACAGTTAGTTGCAACTTTACCTAATTCAATAAATAAATTCCTTGACAAACTATTTTTAATATGAACTCATAAGAGGAATTTTCCTTTTTGTGAATACAAAGCAGATTTGTGTTTGTGCGAGGTCTGTTCGAAACGTAACGCGAGTTCCACTTGAATAATAGTTAAAAAAATACAAAATTCACGATACTTTTTGAACAGACCTCGCAGAATACAAAGAATTACAATTGAATTATAATTGAAATAGGCCAAGGTATGTTTGTAATATATCTAACATATTTTACTTAATATTTTTTATAACAACACCTTAAGATCACTCTCAAAGCAGCAAGTAGAGGTAGTTTTATATTTCGACTAGTTTGTTTTACTTCTCAAACTATTAAAATATTTCTCCAATAGTATTTACCCGATTTAACAACAATATATTCATTCCATATTAAGAATGGATTTTCTTTCCATTTTGCTCGTTAGCATTTCTTTATTTACTATGCTTGTGCTGTGCTGTCACTCTAACGGCCCATGTGTGTGAGACAATTTGTGCAACATTGTGGCAGGTTTTTCATCGGTGCTCCGTCATGCACCGTTATCCAATTACGCCCGAATTGTGGAAACACTTTGCAGCGCATCCACAACTTGCACACGAGTGGGTCTTTGTGCGAGTGAGTGTATGCTGGTTGTTGGCCTGGCCAATACAAACAGGGCTTGGAAAAAGTGCACATTGTCCACTTTGTTAGACAGTCGAATAAGAGCATCGTGATTGCCATGGGCCCAGCACAGGCTGCGAGCCTGGGAGCACAAGTTACATTGGGACTGAGCAGGGAGCACACACACGCACACTCACTCACGGTGCCATTGTTTGGCAATTATGTAGCGCGTTTTAATTATGACAACAACAGCAGCAGCAGCGGCAGCAGCAGCAGCAACAACTTCAAACGAAACGAGCGTTGGCAACCCTGCGGTTTTCCGAGTGGAGTTGGCTGCAATTTTGTCGCCTGTTGTTGTCAGCAACGTATAAATATAAAATGTGCTGAGCGAAATTAGCATACGAAGAGGCAGAAAAGGGAGGAGGGAGAAAGAGATAGTGAGAAAGGAGTAACGCGATAGCGCTGCAGGTGGCTATGATTGCGACTGCGACTGCGACATCGTTGAGTGCCAAAAAGCGTAAAGTTGAAAAGGAAAAAAAACACACACACAATGAAATAACTGGCCTGCAACAGACTATACACACACACACTTGCATACGCGCAGCGAGAGATGCAGACGCGGATGCACGCACGTAAACAAACACATAAACACTTTAACGCACTGCTTAACACTCACACTGACGCACACACTAATGCACAAGCGCCAATGATATTTACGCGCTTACGAAAACGTTAAGTTAAAATGCGACAGCGCAGAGCAGAGTCAGCAGCACAGCAGTGATAAAGGAAGGAGAAAAAGAGAGAGAGGGACAAGCGCAGCACAGGGTGGAGTTAACATTTTATAAAATGCACTTGGCGTAAAAGCCACGCTCATAAATATTTTTCACACGGCGACGTGTTAGTGTTGGTGTCGCTGTTGTGCACTGCCTGCAAGCAGTGCATTCAGCGTATGCAACGATTATGCTGGATTTACACTGCTTTGCGCATGTTATCTTGCTGTTGTTGTTATTCTTGCTGTTGTTGTAATTATTTTTATTTATGTTTCGCTCAGCTGTTACGCTCAGTTTATTTCTACAAAGCATTTTAAGTGCAAGACCTCGTACTATTTTATACAGATGACGGAAACATGTTAAAGACCATTTGAAAGCTTTTATAACATTTCATAAGTGCTAAGAAGTGTATTCAGCTTAAATGCATAATTATCGTGTGGAAACTAAATGCACATTCGATTTTTGAGTACATAAGAGCGCTATAAAAAGAATAATAGCAATTATAATTATTCTATTTGTCCGTAAGACCATAAATGTCGGGTATTTGAGGTTTGTATGCAAATAAATATCAGCAATTTCAGCGGCTTTATCACAGTTTATAAATATTCTTTGCCCCATGCAAATGTTGGGCAAATAAAAATAAAAAATTAAATAAATTCACAATGAATTGTGTTTGGAATTTGTTTTGCGATTTATTCATGAATGCAACGAGCCGCACACGAATCGCGACCACGAATCATTTCGAGTCTGACAGCAGCCCAGACCGCAGATATTTCAAACTATGGTCATGGCGGCTATGGGGTATCAAATGCCTGACTGCATATTTGATCAATGCATTTGCCTGATTTGCCTAGTTATCGCTAACACATGCACAGCACTCGACTTAATTGAATCGCATTTGAGTCTGTCTTTCTCTCTCTTTATCTCTGTTTCTATTATGTGAAGTTGTATATTTAATTAAAGCGCATTGCTGTCTATCTCTCTCTCTCTCTCTCTCTCTCTCTCTCTCTCTCTATTATGTGGAGATATATTTAAATATTTAGGGTTTAGCTCATTTTATTTCTATTTTAATTCGATCAAATGTTACCATGATAAGTTGTGGGTATTTGAATAGCTATCGAAATATCAAGCGATTTAGCATTTTACAAATAATGTGCTTCATTTTGTGTAATTACATAGAAAACTAATGCAAACTCTACGGTTCTACTAAATATGTTTTGGCCATTACAAATTTATATAGAACTGTAATGTAACCAAAATAAAAAGATATATGACAATTTAAAGTTTTTAAGTCAAAGTGGCTTTTTTATTTCGCTCGACATATTTTACACACATTTTCTTAGACATTCAACGTATCCATGTTAAATGTTGGCTAAGCATATTTCTGACTGCAGCTGTCGCTCTGACACGAACCTATTCGCATGATTTCGCCATAATTTTGAAATTATGTGTAACAAGTTGACGTTTTCATTTCGCTTTTTTTTGCGTTTTTCGATGGGGAAATGCCATTTTTTGTTCGCACACGTTTTGAATCAGTGAGAAAATGATGATCGAGTGAGAAAATGGTGGCTGAGCATCGAGAACCCTTTTCAAATATTTCGAAGGGCAACAAAACAAAAGCCGCATGCACATAAATAACGGCATTGTGGTTGACGGCCTTTCAAAGACGTTAAAATTGCAAAAACAAGAAAAGCAGCACCAACAGCATCGAGCATGACAATGCGAATGTGACGCAGCCATAAAATAGATTGAGAAACCCTGGCAACGTCGAAACAAAACACGAGAAAGAAATAAAATCATCGCTGGCATCGCCGCTGCCGTTGCCGCCATTTTGTGGCTTGACCCACAAAAAGCATAAAATAGACAAATCCGAGCCACACAAAGCAACAGCAGCCGAAGCAGCATCCCGCATTCATGCCCCAGCCCCAGCCTCTTGCTTTTGCCGTCTAGACTCCACTGAAACATGCAAATTGGTCATACGACGCGTTGACGCAGAGCTGCCCTTAGGCGAACGGCAATTGAATGGAAAGAAAAAGACCAAAACACATCCACACCCACACCCACACACATACACACACACGCGCACATTGAAGTGACCTTGGCTATGTATAGATAGCTAGACGAGCCCAAAATGTATCCAGTCGTTTTCTCATCATTACCAGCTCGCACCCATCTTTATGCCAAGTCCTCGCTAACCTCTCGCGTGTGGCCAATAAAATGTGAAATTTATTACGCAATGCCAGCCAGAGATTTTAACATAGCTCCACATATTTATTACCCTCGAAGGCGGCCCCTACTCCCGCTGCTGCGGCTGTACATGGCATGTGAATATGATGAATATAAATTAACGTATACTTTTTTATGCATAACCATCCGATCTGATTAATTTTGATATGCGTATTTATCAAACCGTTTTTTGCTGTTTTATTTTTTTTTCCTATTTTTTTTGGTACTTGTTCCTCTGCCATTGTCATATTTTTAGCCAATGAAAAAATGGCATATTA